GCTTTCATTTATACTAGAGACCAATGCAGATGTGTTATTAAGACAAGAGAACTTGGTTTTTAAGATAGCTGCAGTCTGCTTTGCTGTTGTCTGTGCTTGGACTAGTTGTTAGCTTATCAGTCCTGTAGAGCATAAACAACATTTCTTCAAACACAGGCTGTTTATGAAGCTATCAACAATGGACGAGAAATCAGAAACCTAGAATATTCCTTTAGCTGTTCTTTACATCAACCTTGCCTCGCCACTATCCACAGTTAATTTGATTTGGCTTTTTTTACTCTCTTCCATTTGTTTCTACTCATCTCATCAGTTGATTGTTTCCTCTCAAGAACATCAAGGTCTCTTCAGGATGTTTTCATGGGCTCTGCTCACACTGAGAGTACTGAAATTCAGTCAGTCACTGTGTCGATTGGCAAATTTCTTCAACCTCCATCACAATGTCAGGGTCTGACCATCATGGATCCATTACGGTTTGTTGGTGATAACTTACCGTGTGTAATCTCACTTTACAGCAGATTTTAGATTCAAGCAACAGTTAGTTTAAGTACAAATATAAATTTGAATCAGAAAGCTTTTAAAGACATGTTAATTGTGGACGTTTACATAAATGCTGAAACAAAAGTGTCTGTTCGCTTGGGAATGACCTCGCTGACATGGATTTTAAAGGGACGGCATGTCACCACCATTGTGAGATCTTACATAAGGCAGTGCACTGGACTAAATGGGTTGTCCTGTTTACCACGCAGACCCAGAATCATCTGCTGCCACGACCTACATAGAATCTTCCACTCAGATGTTCAAATCTATAAATAACAGGCGTGTAGATGCATCTGGCAATGGAAGTGATACATTCTGGTGGTGGAAACAGACATGTGTGCACAGTGTTTCTTTAGTTCGGTGTTGGAGGTAAACCCATGCAAAACAGAAAAAATGGAGCTGAAACATCAAGAGAATAGAAAACGTGTCACTCAATCATGCAACAAAACTATTCGGTGAAAGAAATTTGGTTAAAAGTGAGAGAAGTTTTTCTTTGATAGAAAATCCGAAAAGAAGAAGAATACCATCTTCTATAAAGCGCCTCTCAAGATAAAAGTTGCGAGGCACTTCACAAAAACAAAAAAATTAAGTATAAAAGATTTCAAAAATGATTACAACTATGTTTAAAAGGAGAAGAGAAAAAGTAAGGAAAGGGAGAGAAAATGAACAAGAAAGAGGGAAATCAATGGATCCCAGGAAAGGCGGAACAAGAACAGAATAAGGAGAAGGTGGTGATGAAGGTCATGCAAAAACCTGCTTGAACAGGTGAGTTTTCAGCCGCTTTTTAAAGGAGACCACTGAGTCCACTGATCTCAGGCTCAGGGAGAGAGGTCCAGAGTCTGGGGACCACAGCAACAAATGATCTGTCACCTTCGGTGACCTTTTTCACTGCTGGAACTGAACGCATTATTAAATAAATTAATAAAATTAAAATTGTGTTTTTCAAACATACTGGGATGTGTCCATTATCTAATAATCTGCATTTCAAAAAGCATCTATTCTCGTTTTTGTACCATTTCCAGTCTGGATTGGAGATTCTGCTTTTTCTTCATTTATGTCTGGTGTGATAATTGCTGTTTATCAGCCGCACCCTGACGAGAACCACACTTGTGAACATCTGACAAGAATGTTGGTAGCATTTCAAACGCAGTCATGGCCAAAGGTCTGGTCATAGTGAAAACACACCACTTTCTGCTGCTTTCTTGCTCTGCTTTTTGCGTATAATGAACTATTTCGGTGCACTTTAAAATGCCAGACTCATTTGTGTTTCCTCAGCCAAAGAGACTCAAGTATCTCAAGCAACAACAGTAAATTAGTGAGCTGTTTCACTCTGTATTTAACTGCAGTGCCTGCCTGCACGCACGACTATTTGTATTTTGCAGTCAACATGGACTGAATAATACCCCTTTTCTCAACTGTGCTGTCCTTGTTTTTGCCTGAAAATAAACCTAAAACCTTAAAAGGACTTTTGCTCAATACCACTTTTTTTAATCATGTTATTTAAAGATCAAGTTCACTTCACTCCTGAACTTTGCGGATATGTGCCCTCTGTTGCCCTCTCAAGGCCTCCTGCGTCACCGTCGTAAAAACTAATCTCTGTCGTGCATAAGAGGCATGTCTACCGGTGTCGGTACAGGATCTGCTCGGGTGCATGATTGGCTCGGGGTCCTTCGACTGCCAATGACATCAAAGTAGTTGATTGGCTGAACATGAAGCTTACGGAAGTTACGTTATCACGTTATGATTTTGATTGGTCAGAACAAATTTGCGGTCGTAGTCTTAAGCCTGGTTTATGCTTCTCCGTCAGCTCCGCAAGGGACAGACACGCACGGATTGACGGAAGCGTTTTGCTCTCATACTTCTCCGTCCCCTGGAGAGTGTTGCAAAGCAATTGCCCGACAGGACAACAGAGGGCGTAGCGCTGTTCTGTGGTGTCCTGTCATGTATCGGTCCAGGATCGTGTGTTTATATTGTGTTTTTTGTGTACATAAGAGACTTGTAACACGGACATATTTGTCTCTCATTCTCCCACCGCTTCATGCGCTCCCCACCTCTAAACCCACGTTTCCTGTCATTTCCGTCAACAAATAAAACGCTTGCTGCGTATCTTTTCACTCCTCCAGTCACGGGAGAATTAAACGTTCATATTTTTAGAGTTTTTTCGCGAGGTATTCTTCAAGCTTCTCCGTGTCTGCCGCTAGTTATCCTCGGCTCTCTTTGCAATGGCGGCGCTGTAAACAACAGCGGCGGCCTGACCAATCACAAGCTTGCGTAATCCGTCTCGTTTGACGGATGTTTAAAAAAGTGGGCTCGACTCCGTACGTACTTGCATGCCTGCCGGAGCCCTACGCAAGGACGGATAATGGCGTTGCATGTCTCCGCACTGACGCAGACGGAGAAGCATAAATCAGGCTTTAGCGGTTGTAGTCCTGTAGTCCATAAATCAACAATTTTTGGAGAAAAAATTTTTGAATTTCCAAAGGAAATGTGAAATAAAAGCAAACGATAAACGGTGACCATCAAAAGCTCTTGATGTTGATGAAATGGGGCAAAATAAAATATAAGAATTTTATTAAAAGACACCAAGCAACATTTTGAATCAAAGAATGTATTTACACAACTAAGGAAATACACAGACGAACTCCACATTAATACAAACAGATGTGGCTTCACGTATAAGAACTGTTGTCTTTTTTTGTCAGTCCGATGTTGGTTTTATGCAGTTTCACATTCTTTACAAAACAAAGATAATATGGTGTTTTATTAACAAATTACAATTATAAAGAAAACATGTAGGTGTTAACAAACAAGAATTTATTAACAAAACTGCTGATGTTTTTCCAAAACGTATGTGTGAAAGCCGAGTAGATTCGCAGTACAGTGACGTCATCAGCGGGCGCTGGACCCCGAGCCGATCTGGCACCCGAGCAGATCCTGTTCATCTGATAAAGGACTTCTCGCTTTCTTCAGTGGATCTGCCATTGCCCAGTTCTCTGAACCACGGGTCTCCCACAGACATGTAGACGTAGACGCCCCATGGACTGGCGCTGCCATAGTGGCCAGCCGCCATTTTCGATGGGTCTCCATTCGCCACGAGTGCATTGATTTCTCCTGAGAAAGGTGCTTACCCAACTATTTTATCAAGCTTTTTCACAAAATCAGACACAAGGTATGCCATGATAATTCAAATATAAATATAATATTAAAAATGTATTTAAATATAAAATCCTATCAGGTAGGCTAGAAAACTCACTAGTAATCCCACGTGATCTGTTTTCAGTTGTACGCCGGTTGTTGTAACTGTAGGCTGCATAAAAACGGGCATAGTTGCTCACTTTGCTTTGACTTTGGAGAGTGAGGAGACCCATCCAACATGGCTGTTACGTTCTCCAATGCCCAATTAGGTGTCTACATATTCATGTCTACGGAGTGTATGTTTGCGCAGTCAGTACTTCTGGCGGTGGACCGCTAGTCAAACACTGTATATTGCGGTAAACAGACGTGGGACCTCATAGCACTATCACAGCTCTGAAAATGAATATAGTAGATATCCCACCAAAACCTTTAAGTGTAAAAGTTGTGAAATGTGTCTTTAATCCATTTTTAGTGGTCTAGTGTATAAAATGTTTCCTGGATGGGAAAAAAATACTCTGGTGCTCCTGTTTCAGGAGCTAAAAGTGAGCCAGAGCAAAGGTGAACAGAACATAGCAATACTTTTCTATTTGACGTGCAATCGACTGGCTTTTGTAGTCCAAGTGTTACCCTGTCAATTTTCTGTCGCGGCTGTTGTGGAATTTTTAATGAAGCAAAATGAAAGCAGTCTATGATTCTATCAAAAATTTAGTTTCAATATTGCAATATCAAAAATGAGGAAACTGTCCAGAGATTCTTCCCAAAGCAGCCCCAGGAGTGCCTCCTCCCAGCAGGGAGTTCACACTGTGTTTATACTCTTGCTGCCATTCCTTCTTGAACCCCCAAAGAGAGAGAGCAAAAATTTGTCTTACAGTGTTGTCTATTAGAGGAAGGGGTGAACGTCTTAGAAAAGGGGGCTGCATCCAAGGGAAAATGAGCAACACACATACCCCACCCGCAGCCATGCCGTGGCCGAGCCATCGTGAGACAGAACGTTTAAAGCGGTCGCAACACCCACCTTCTCTGACCCCACATATACAATTGTTTTTAAAAAATAAGTAGAAGGATCGAATTTTCTCCCCTTTTGATTATTCATGTACATGGCTAATGTCAGAAATAAGGGTAGAATACTATTTTCTCATTTAGCCTGCATGTGAAACTTTCAAAAATAACAAGCAAAAACGATTTCTCAGTGAACTTTGTCTTTAAAAAAACATGTTCCTAGTCATTCAATAAAACACGATCTTACTAAATAATCAATCTCGGATTTTCCTTCCACATATCAAATGTTGTTAAAATACTCATAGACATTTACCATGTCTCTCTGGCAGTGAAATCCGACAACAAGGACAAGCAGGAGAAGGCAGACATAACGTCTGGCAAGGTAGACAAGATCGACACCTCTGACAAGAAAGAAGAGCAGCAGAAGAAAGAGACTAACACCGACGTAAATAAGACACCCGAGAACATCCTCAAAAAGGAAGAAAAGGTGGAGAAGATAAACGACAAGGAGAAAACCGATAAGCCGGAGAAAGTGGACAAGCCGGAGAAGACGAACAAAGACGAGAAGGAGGAGAAGGAGGAGAAGAAGGTGGCCGAGAAGGACGATAAGGGGGGAAAAGGTACAGCCAAGTCTCCTACAGGCAACGGCAGCAAGACTCTGCCAAGTCCTGACAGCAAGGGCAAGGTCAGTGTGTCTGAATCACACACACACACACACACACACACACACACACACACACAGTGCTCTCAGCACACCCATCCTACATTCAGTGGTTACAGAAATGGTTTAATCACTCCAAGGCTTCTACAACAGTAATACTTTTGTATTTATATAGTAAAGGTTCATGGACACCTTTTGCATTTCTTTTTGTGCTGATTTAGTGTTTTTGCTGGATCTTCTCTAGCGTGTGAATTGAACCTTACTTCCTGTCCATGTTTGAGTTGCAAACTGCTTCTCTCTTTTTTTATTTGATACTTTTGTGACTTACTTCTCATTAGCTCTCTACTCTGAAGTGATCATTAAATGTGTTCATTTATGACCTGTTGTATGATTGCCATACGTTTGCAGGTGTTGCGGCCATATCATGCTGTCATTGCTGTGATTTCATTGCTGCTTTTTTCTCTCTTTTCCTCCTCCTTCGTCTTTTGTTTTCCTTCTCTTTTTGATTATTTCCCATTAATTATTGCTGTTATGGCTTGTTTTACTTTCATTCATCAACCAGCCCGATGTGGGTTCAACCAAAACAAACGCAGCCAAATCGCGTCCATCCAACCTCTCCACCAATAATGAGGCCAACTCGGCCAAACGCCCCTCCCCCACTACAGCCAATAAAAAAAGTCCTGCACCCAAGGCAACTACTCCTACTGCTGCCAAGCGGCTGCCAGCAGCAGCTGCGTCCAACAAGGCTGCCAAGGTGAGTTTACAACACAGTTGTTCTATTGTGTGGAAACAGGAAGTTCAGACAGTCTCATTCTGTGAAGACTTGAACAAAATCCAATCCTATGAATGTCCTTGTTGGGACACAGTTTTGCATTTTCTAAATGCTTTGGTGCACGTTTTAGGAATTCTCAGGTCTCAGGTGTTGGCCATCAGACTATAGAGAAAAAAGCCTCAGGTTTGATTCAGAAACCCATCAAAATTCTGACTAAGCAGTGTCAGGATCAAGGTTCTAGATCAAGGTCAAGATCCTGGTTCTGGTCTATAGGGCCCTATATGGACAAGCACCATCTTACATTGGTGATCTTCTTAGTCCCTACACCCCCAGCAGGTCCCTGAGGTCCAGTGATCAAAGCCTACTGGTTGTGCCATGAAGAAGCTACAACGACGTTCTGCTGAGCTGTGGTGGCCTCATAGAGGGGGCCATCGACTAGCACACTGCTGCTAACCACTTAAACATTCTCCCTCTCCTGATAATAACACTTTACTTTTCTTGACATTGGATGTGCTACTGCTAGTTTATCCGTTTAATTATAGATTCACGAGGAAAAATACAAATGAAGTTTATCTTTCACCAAATAGAATATTTACTAAGACATCACAATATAACTATAGACGCATTACTAGTCTTTGTGAGTGTGCGTGAGTGTGCGTGTGTGTGCGTGCGCGTGTGTGTGTGTGTGTGTGTGTGTGTGTGTGTGTGTGTGTGTGTGTGTGTGTGTGTGTGTGTGTGTGTGTGTGTGTGTGTGTGTGTGTGTGTGTGTGTGTGTGTGTGTGTGTGTGTGTGTGTCTGCTCTGTCTTCTCGATCCCCAGTGAGTCGTGGTGGATGGCTGCTTATACTGAGTCGGGATTCTCTGGAGGTTTCTTCCTGTTAAAAGGGAGTTTTCCTCTCCACTGTCGCTTTATGTTTGCTTAGTATGAGGATTGCTGTATAGTCACTGACACTAGTCAGTGACTTGATGCAATTTGCTGGGTTCCTTATATAGGAAAAATTATTTCTGATTGGCCTAATGAACTGACCTGAATTGGAATGTTTATTATGTGAAGTGCCTTGAGACGACTCTTGTCGTGATTTGGCGCTATATAAATAAACTTGAATTGAATTGAATTGAATTGTGCAACACCAGGCTAAAGACCAAAGGTGACAGATCATTTGCTGCTGTGGCCTCCAGACTCTGGAACTCTCTCCCCCTGAGCCTGAGATCGGTGGACTCAGTGGTCTCCTTCAAAAAGCAGCTGAAGACTCACTTGTTCAAGCTGGCTTTTGTATGACCTTCTTCACCACTCTCTCTTTATTCTGCTCTCCCCACCTATTCCACCTTCCTCAGGATCCACTGATTTCCCTCTTTCCTGTTCACTTTCTGTCTTTCTTAACATTTTTTATCACAATTGTCTATTTTTGCTCATTTTAAATATATTTTTAAACATTTTCTAAATTACTTTTTTATATTTTTACATTTTTTGTTTGTGTGAAGCGCCTCGTGATTTTTATCTTGAGAGGCGCTATAGAAATGATACTTTCTTCTTCTTCTTCTTCTTCTTCTTCTTCTTCAGATAAAAGGTCTCAGGAAAAACTTGATGATTCAAAAAAGTCTCAGGAAAAAATCCATCAGACTAAAAAGTCTGGGAAAAGAATTCTGTCAGGCAAAAAAGGTGTTTGGAAAAACACCATCAGATGAAAAAAACTCAGGAAAATGTGTCAAAAAACTTCCTTTGTCTGATGTTTTTCCTGAGACCTTTGTTCTGACAAACTTTTTCCTGCAATCTTTTTGTATGAGGGAGTTTTCCCTGATGTTTTTTCTGAGATCTTTTTGTCGATGAAGGTTTTCCTGAGACCTTTTTTGTGTGATGGAGTTTCTCCTGAAACCTTTTTTTCTGACAGATTTTTACTGAGGCATTTTTGTGTGACTCTATTTAATCAGAGGTCTAATGGGTTTTTGAATCAAACATGATAATTTTTTCTATGGTCTGATGCCTGACACCTGATATCTGAGGATGTCCTACAATGTACACTGTACAAAACACTCTAGCTTCAGTTATTCAAGGTCCCTTGTCAGCTGAGCCGTGTGTCCCATTATGCATTTTTGTTTTAATTTAGGGATAACGTTTTAAATAACACTCGTGTGTGTGTTTAAAAGCATTGCTATACATTTTCAATTAGAAACATTGGAACAAAATCAATACTTTACGTTTTTGTGACAATTAGAGAGGAAACAGAGCAGTGTAGTCCAGACAGCAGTAGAGTTCAAGGGCAAAAATATAATGAAGCTCTAAATCAAAGTGGAAATTTTGTCCATTTTTAGGTGCATCTTTATTTAGGATGACACCAACTTGCTTTGCAGTTGGTTTGGTGCCTTGTCCAAATAAACCTGACTCTCACTATTACCTTAAAACTGTTCCGATCTTCTAAATTTCACAGTTCTATGTGGAAATGTTATCTCAAACTCTTGCACCGCTGGTAGTTTTTTTGCATTACATGCATGCATGTACACATGCATGTTATTTTTAGGAATAGTGGATGCACTGGCAATGTTGCATTTTATTTAAAAAACGTTTGCATGTACTGCTATGACATTTTAGAGATTGCAAACGCCAGCATAACACCTTAGTTTGGGCTGCGGTCAGATAAACTATTTTCTTAGCAGTGATGTCACATGTATATATTTCCCAAATAAAGGCAGTTGGGGAAAGATATTTACTGTATAACAGTAAGATAGTAAATATATTTTTAATTGGAAACAAGCCAGAAATTATTTTTAACTGTTGTCAAATGCCAGATATTAGTTTGTTCTTAGAGGATATAGGTTTGAATCTGCATTGGGTTTTTCAGTCACTCTTTTGATAGTGTGTGTAAACATTTAAGATAGGAAGGTTAAACTTACAGATTTACAGCTACTAATAAGGCTGTACAGGATATGGAAGCTAATAACAATACCTGCTTAGCGGTTCATTATGTCCTTCTGTATCACAGATAGGTCACGTGTTATATAAATGTAATAATTTCAGGTAATTGTGAAGTCATAACATCAAACTGAACATTAATGGTGTTCTTGAACTTTCAAAGCTTGACCTTTAAATAACATTAAACTTGAAATGTTGAGGACTTTGAGCGCCTCATAAAAGGTGTTTTTTTTTCTTTCCTACACAAATCTCTTGACTAACAAAACTTTAAAATTCCTCCTGGTCCTAAATGACGTCACTGGCCATCTCTTTGTCCCAAATCTTATTTTAAATCTCACAATATTACATCCTAAACCCATCCTCCTTCCCTCGGGTTTTTTACGTATCCAAACTTTTTATATTATTTGGCTTCATTCTCTGATATTTTTCATTAGCTGCATGATTACCCTCCTGTTTACTCTGACTTTCATGCACACACACTTTAAAATGCTAAGTGTTTCTCATGTCTTCTTTGATTTGGTTTTCAGACTCCAGAAAATGGCACGGCTGACAAACGCCCACCCGTGTCAAAGGCGACCCCTCGTACAGAAGCCAGTAAGAATGGTTCCTCGGCAGCAGCTGCAAATAAACCTGCAGGTACTTTTATTGTTCTTGTAGTGCGTCTTCCCCTAATCCCCAGCAAGCACACATAGGTGAGCCCCATATGGAATATATTTGGGCAAGCCGTATGGGTCCCACCAAGATTTGTCCATGGCAAGGTGGCTCCACAAGGGTTTTAATGGGTGTTTGAGTCAAACCCCCTTAAAACCCTTGTGGGGCCTGTTAAAATCTATGTAGGCAAAAATCTTTCTGGGCAAACCCCTGTAAGGCCACCATGAAAACCGCAGACAAACCCTAGTGGGACAAATATGGCTTGCCCATACGTATTCCATATGGGGCCCACCTATGTGTGCTGGCTGGGTTGTTTCACATGATAACATGATCTATAGTGGCTTCAGTCATAATAAACCCACCTTCAACAATGGTGCTTAAACAGTCTACAGTAGCTCAACCACAGAGGTCACGCTAGGCATTTTTATTGTTCACCAAAAAGTAATGCGTATAGAAACGAAAATGGTCATGGCCGTTTTTTTCTTTTCTGTCATTTTCATTTCTAAAATAAGAATTTTATAAAACACTCATCATTTCATTTCCATTCATTTTAAATTATTATTTAGCCCAAACGAGCTGAACAGAGTGCCCCAGTGACACATTATTAATGTGACAATTAAACAATTTAAGATGCATTGAGAATGGTGTGTGAGATAATGCTCAGATGCTCTGATAGACTGTGCTACCTCTGCGATGTACTCTGTGTGTAATGCGTGAGTCAGCTGTGTGAATGTCAATTTGTCAAAATGGCGGACAGCCTTCTGATTTTTCCATCACTGTTAAAGAAAACTGTCAAATATGGAAAATCTGTGGTTAATGTGACCCTGCTCTACAGCGAATCATGCTGGCACCACTTCAGGCCTAAAGCTCACTGAATAGCTATCATATGTTGCTTTTTATCAGATTCAAGAGCCAGCTTTACAGCACACTTCTAGTGTTTTTATCTGCACGTCAAAAACAGGATCCCACCTTCAAAAGGAGGGCAACTTGAGTCAACCTGCGGCATTTTCCTGAATGTGGCTTTTGTGGTTTTTATGTTCTTCAGCTCAACATCCACAGTGGATAAACTGTATTCTCTTATTAATAGAACTAACTTATGATAGTTTAGGTAGTTACTTATACACAGAAAATCACCTCACCATTCAATCTGATGCAAAAACAAAAAACATCATCAGTCTAGTTTATGATCACTGGTGTAAACAACAGTTGTTTGTGTTTGGTATGGTAGAAAATATCGATATGGCAATATATCATGATATTTTTTCCTGCAATATAATATCGATATTCAAAAGCCGAGTATCAAATTTTTGAATAATGTACATGCAGGCATTTGTGTATTTTTTCTTTTAGTGCAATTCAAACACCAAACTCTAGTTGGCAGCAGTGTGCAATGGGTTTTGTTTCCACCACTGAGATGTAAATCTTTCTATTATGGTTCAGATACCTCATGTTAAACATGTTACGTATCAGTTTGGACTGTTTGTTGAGTTTTCCTACAATAAATTCAGTCAAATAATGCTAACGCACATCTGGCTGAATGTATCGCTATTTATCGTGATATTTCGTATCGTCTCCCCTATATTGTGATGTGTATCGTATCGCCAGAATTTTACCAATACACATCCCTAGTTGGTGTGAATAGGAAACACACACACACACACTACCAGGATGACACAAAGATCCGATTGTTGTCATATTGGTCTGATTTTGTTCATTAAAAGTAAATATTATTTGGGATCTCAATAAAACCTCAAAAATGTGATGAACAAACATATGTACAAGCTAAAAGATTTAAAATGTTCAGAAGAGCCAAAAGCTCCCTGTTTTGATTTTTATTTCAGGTTAATAATGTGTTCAAATCCACCAGGAGGAGCAATTATATCGTAGAGCAATCAGATGTAAACTCTTAAGTAAAATACTTGAAATGTTGTTATCTTCTTATAAATGTGTTGTTTGTTTTTTACAACTCAGCAAATAAGAATGACAAGACTGAAGCCAAGACAGGAGAGGCTAAGAAACCCAAGACTACAGGTAAGAAAGTATAGGAACATCATAAAACATCCTATTAGTATTGATAAAGAACTTTAATGAGCACCTCTGACACAGCAAGGACCCTCTTTTCTCTGTTTGACTGCTCCTAGAACTTACAAGAGTCCATATACTGTGTTGTGTGTTTGGGGCGACGGGGGCACAGGAGTTAAGTGCTCGCCTCGCAATCGGAAGGTTGCAGGTTCGAGCCCCGCTCAGTCTGTTGCTGTCGTTGTGTCCTTGGGCAAGACACTTAACCCACGTTGCCTGCTGGTGGTGGTCGGAGGGACCGGTGGCGCCAGTGCTCGGCAGCCTCGCCTCTGTCAGTGCGCCCCAGGGCAGCTGTGGCTACATTGTAGCTCATCTTCACCAGTGTGTGAATGTGTGTGTGAATGGGTGAATGACTGATTGTGTTGTAAAGCGTCTTGGGGGGGTTCCAGGACTCTAGAAGGCGCTATATCAAATACAGACCATTTACCATTTACCTTTTTTCCCTCTACAGCTCAACCTCGTCCAGCTTCCACAGCCACTCCTGCCCCGGCTGCCTCCACTAACGGTGACGGTCATCGCCGCCGGGTCATCACGAAACCGCCGGTGCCCAAGCAGACCCCAGTGGAGAAGAAACCCACAGCTCCCCGTCCTCCCCGAACCCCACGGCCCATCAACGCTCCGACACCGGACCTAAAGAATGTGCGCTCCAAGATCGGATCCACTGACAACATCAAATACCAGCCGGGAAGAGGCAAGGTAAGACGGGGTGTATGTTATTCTAAAGGTCTAATCTGCACCAGAATCGAATCTGTGTGTGTGTGTCAGTCGAGTTTACATGCTTTCACATTTTCAGACATGCTTTTGATCTTTGGTAAAAGCTGGGAAGAGCTGCTACAGCCTGAATTTTTAGGGTATGCGAGGCTGAAAATTGGACCGTAAAATAAAAGAGCGGATAATAATAAGGCTGTTGATTACTCAGTGCAGGGGTACTCTGGCTGGAATGTAGCTCCAATTAGCCGACACTCATTAGCATAGCTGGCCCGGATTTTCTTCTGGAGATCTTTGTAAACGTGGCCGCTCTCAGCTGGACCCCGCTGAAAGTCAACACGTCTCTGCCTCTTAGCATCTTTTTAAAGTGGGAATCATTTCCATCAGGAAACAAACGGCTCACACGATGAGAGGGAACTGGTTTTTGGTTGCGCAGAATGCATTTTATCAAAAACGTCTACAGGTGTTTAAAAATACTACAATCATGGGGAGTTTCTTCTACTCTAAAAGCCCAATACGCTTTCCTTCCATTACTTCTAAGTTATCTGAGCTTTTAAAACAATTTTCTATTTTCCTTTACCGTTTGCCTTTGCATGCTGTCACATTTCAGTTCTGCGGTGAATCTTTTCTGCCTTCCTTCTGCCACCAAGCTTTAATCTTTTATTCCATCTTTCTGCAAGCTCCTTGTGTGTGTAAGCTTGTTTGACCTTATTATTAGTATTCTCACACTCTCCATGCCCCCCCTCCCTGTTCTGCCACATACCTGGAAGCAGTGGAAAAGTATACATGTGTGCATTACAGATAACTTTGTTGCCTTGCGAAGCAGCAGCTCAGCCTGTCATGGGTGGTAAAGGCTCAGTGACCTGACCAGTCGTCTGTCTCTGTCTCATCAATGTTTGTGGCTCTCTGTCTTAGAGGGGAGAGGCTGGGCTGTCGCTTTAAATCACAGACAGGATCCTCCGCCCGCCCGTCCACCCTGCTTTGTAATAATCTGTCAGTCCAGTTTAGCGTTGTTTTTTCTATCACGGTCATGTTTCTTGTCACTGAGTCTGATTTTCTCCGGATGGTCACTCTTTAGCCTGAGACAAAGAGTTGATGTTGCTTCGGTGTGAAAACAAAATTTTTCATTTGTTTTTACAAACTTCTACAACTTTTATGGACCAATTTGTTATTAAATAATAAAATCAAATTCAGTCTGTTTCCCCCGTTCATAAGTTAGATATGAGCTTAAACTGGAAGGTATGACAAACATATTTGTATTACAATAATGCCGTGGTTTTGATTGTTAGTTAAAAATGTGATGAACAAATGATTCACCTTCAGGACTGAATTTGGGGTTAATATTTAATTTATTGCAGTCAATCTTGCTCTCATTAAATAAACGACAGCCAAGGTCCTCCCTCATGGGTGCTTTTCAAAGTAAAACTCATTTAACATCTGATGGACATTTGTAGGTGGACAAATGTTTACATCTGGTGAGTTTAGACTGTGGAAACAAAATTTCCTTTTTAATCAGAAAAAAAGGTTTTAATGAAATATATCATTAGCATCATGTTTTTCTTTGGCTTTAAATTTGAAATTCGCCACCACATCTGGCTGATGTTTGACTTGGACTATATCCGTACGCCCTGTGGAAACAAGGAATTAGTATATTGTATTAGTCTGAAACTAAATACAGAGTTCTGTTTTTACTTCTTTAGGCTTTTATTTTCATAATCTGCAACACATGAATTTGTTCATTTTAATACGTACTTCTATCATAAGTGTTAGGGTTGACAGAATGTCAAAGACAGCATGAAACTCTTGAAAGGGCCGTTTTATGAAAAATATTTTTCATTGTTTATTCTCACAAACACAGTGTGCCATTTTTTTTTGGGCCTTCCTGTTTATTATAGAAAAATCTTGAAAACACTATTTAAAGTGGCAGTGTGTAGTTTCCTGGCACTAGGTAGGTCAGTACATACCTACATTTCAGGGTGGTTTTTCACCATATCGCCGTGACTGTCGCTAGTTTAAAAACATTACGGTAAATGTTGTTACCTGTGGAGCTGAAAGCATGTGACCTCAGCGTGACCTCTCAGACTTTTGATGGTCCTTCATTTAATTCCATCAAGAGAATGTGATGCTAGTGCTGCAGTTCCCACATCTTCTTGTGGTCTTGCGCCTGCCGATGATGTCATCATACTATGGCAATACCGCTCAGCCAAAACATATAGCATTTCTTTTTCTATTCTGTTTTTTCACATAGTTTATGGGAAAAGTTTAGCAGGACCCCGAGCCAGCCAGACAAAAACATGGCGTCTAATGTGGCGTCCCGTAAGACCCGATTTTTGTGGTTGTACGTTACGAAGCTGCCAATATTTTTCAAGGACTGGAGATGTGTTTATTCATTTTCAACGTTTCAATGGATATTTCCAGAGATTAACAGTAAAAACTACATATTGTCTCTTTAAGTTATAGTAAAGCTATGGCTGAATCTGCTTCACTGAACCCTCCTTTTAATTTTTTTTTATGTTGAAATAAAATGCAGATGATATTTCTCTACAGACGG